CTAAAGGAGAAATGCCCAAAGCTCTGTTTGGATCAGGCTGGGAAGAACTGGGATTCTGGGATCAGCTCCCTGGGACAGATCCCACCAGGAGCAGAACGACCTTAATAGAACTTCTGTCAAGCAAAACCCCCCAAAACACCCCAAACCCCAAATTTTGTAGCAGCCTGAGGGTATTTCTGGAGTCTCACCCCACAGCTCAGCCCCTGTCCTTGCCATGAAGGAATATCCATGGGGGAAATGCCCAAATCTCTGTAGGGATCAGCCCTGGAAGCAGGAATGGGGAATGATTTGGGGTCTGCCTGTGCTCCAGCCCCACAGAATCCCACAGAAAGCCCCGTGAGGGCTCCAGCAGGAATCCAAGTGGAACCTCTCCCACTGCCCCGGCTCCATCCCGCTCTTTGCACGCAAATGTCACCCTCAAAGAGCAGCAGAGCATTTTTCCCTCCAGGAAAACTCCTGGGATGTGTCAGAAAGGGACAGGAGCTTCCCAAGCATTCCGTGATCCCGTGGGAGCGGGAGCAGGTCCCGCTGTCAGGGCTCACCCAGCAGCCTCACGGGGGGATTTAGGATATTTTAATTTGAATTCCTTAAAGAATTAAAATTCCTTTTCCCACCTGAGCTGGAGCCAAAACCCAGTGAGAATATTTCCTCTTCATTTAAACCGGGGATTCATTGAATCCTGTGTTATTCCCAGCATTGAAGAATGAGTTTGGGATTTAGGAAGGGATGGAATAAGAATGGATTCTGCCAGAGGATTTAGGAGAAACAAAATGAATCAGAAACAGAAATGGAACAGAACCAGAGATCACATTAATTTTGTCAGAGGCACATAAACTCCATTTCAGAAGGTTTTTTTTTATTCCAGAGGATTCCATGAAACTCCCCAGACTTCCAAAAAACATGGAATACAAGCAGGATGTTGTAGGGAAAAGCTGGCATTCCTTAACATCCTCAAGAACACCCAGGACCAACACCTCCCTCCCCTCCCTGCCACTCAGCGCTTCCAGGGGTGGCCAAAAATTCCATCTATGAATTTTTGGGATACTCCCTTTGCATTCCAGGCTGGGACAGGGAAAACAGCAGAGGAGGAACGAGCCCAGCCTGGTCCTGCCGCAGGGTTTGGGGTCAGCCCCGTCCCTTCCCAAGGAAGGATTTTATGGGGCACTCCTGGCACGGGAATGAGCCATAAACCAGAGCACAGCCTGGCCCCAGACGGTGATTCCAGTCAGGATAGGGAGCCTCGTGCTTCCCAGATTTGTGGGGTGGTTTCTGGGAAGCCTGAACCCCCATCCCACAGGGATTCCCACAGGGATTCCCCCAGGCCGAGCTTCTGGCAGCACTCCCAGATTTCCCGGCTCTGCTCCTCCGGAGCCCACAGAGGAAGGTCCAGCCACCCCCTCCTGGCCCCCTCCACCATTCCTGAGGCAAATCCTTGGCCAGGCACCTTCCCCCTCCAAAGGGAATCCAAACTCTTGGAATGGCTGGCAGAAATCCCCTGGCACCATCCAAGGGGTGTGTCCTTCCAGGCAAGGGGAAGGATTGGGGTGGATCTTCATCCTCCTGCTCAGCTGGAGCTCTGACTTTTATGGAAAACCCCATTCCCAAAATTCCCAAGGGAAAGGCAGGAGTCAGCAGAAGGACAATAAAACTCTGGGATGAAGTCCATGGAGTTTTATGGACTAAATGAAAGGGGGGAGAACACCAGTCTAATAAGAACAATGAAAAAAAATCCTGCATCCCATAAACCCACCAACTTTGCCCCCTCCTCCTGAGGAACACCAGAGAGAATTCCAGGAGGTTTCCCTCTGGGAGCCAGAAGGGAATGTGGAGCCATTGGCTGATTGTGGGGCCAGGCTCCGGGAGGGGCAGCATTTAGGATTTCAGGGAAGGGCAGGAATTGAGCCCATCCCGGCTCCTGTCCCCTCCTCCCCATGGCATGGCTGCTGTGCCCTCGCCACCCTCACGTCCCCAGCGCCCTGTGCATGCCACTCTCCACGCTCCTCATCCCGAGATCCCATCACGTCTGTCCGCTCTGATCCCGGGATAATGGTGTTCCCAAGCAGGGAAGCTCCTTCCTGAGCCAGAAGCATTATCCATGGACAGCGTTCCACGTCAGTGCCGGTGCCTCATTATACCAAATGTCCCGTGGGGAGGCAGCTGGAAACTCCGGGTGCTGGGAAGGGGAAGCCGAGTGGATTTAGGGTCTGGAATTCCAGTCAGGATTTCATGAAAAGGGCACAGGTGACACAGTGCAGGCAGTGCCACTTGAGGAGGGGACACCTCAGCAGGCAGAGAGAGGGGAGGACACAACTGTCCCAGGAGCCTGGTGAGGGAGGAAAGCTCTGGGAAAGCTCTGGGAAGGTGCAGGTTTATCCATAGGGCCATTCCAAGGAATCCCAGCAGGACGCTGGGGTGAACCCAGCCACCCTTGTCCTGCTGCACGTGGCTCCCCAGAGCCACCACTGATCCCTGGACACCACCCCCAGCCCTTCCTGGACGGCCCTTTCCATGCTGGGATGGCTTCCAAGGAGGCTGATCCTGCCTGGAATGGTTCTCCCAGCTCCATTTGGTATAACGAGGCAATGATTCACGGTTTTTTAATCTTTTTTGGGTCGTAGCACTGCCCCTGTGAATGCAGAACCTCCTCATTTCTCTCTCTGATCAGGCTCTTTCTGCTTCTCTCTGTTTTATTCCCATTCCTTCTCCTCCTTTTCACCTGGTCTATCCACATGGACCGTGAAGGTCTCTTGAAAGGTAGGACCTCGTGCTGCCAGAAGTCCGGCACATTCTGCTTTTTTGGGAATTTTATTTTCCTTCCTTCCCTCCTCCCGTTGATTTCTTCACGGCCAAAACTCCCCCGTCCCCATTCCCACATCCCTGCCTAACACATTAAACAAGATCCCTCTAATTCCTGCTGCCATCGGGGCTTCCGGAGACTCAGATCCTGCTTGGAATTGCTCCGTGGGCTGGGTGCACCCCCAGATCCAGCCAGGCCCCCCAGCTCCAGCTGCTGATCCCTCCTGGTGGAGCAGGCTTGAACATGGGAATGCATGTGGGATTTTTCAAGGAAAAAAAAAGTGGATTTTCAAGGGAGAAATGTGTTTTTTTCAAGGAAAAACTGTCATTTTCCAAGAAAAAGTGCATCTCAGGGCATGGGGAAGAGGGACATGAGCCAAAGCCATTGGATCTTGTCCAACCTGCCCACTCTTAGTCCTGAAAATCCTCCCTCCGGCTCCAGCCTCCCCTTTTTCCCAATGATTTATGGGATTCAGGAGAGCATTTCCCACGTGATTCCCATCTGAGCACTCCAGTTCCCTAACGCCTGGCTCAGCCACGCTCCCAGAAATCCATTTTAACAGGGTTAGATCCTAACAGGAGCTGCTGGAAAACTGCTGCTCCCTCCTAACGCGCTAACGGGATAAACAGTCCTGGAGAGAGGTAAAACCAGCAGGAATTCTCTGGGAATGCATTCCTGGCAGGAATTTGGTGCCGCAAACCCCCTGGTTAGGGATGATCCAGCTCCAGATTCAGCTTGAGCTGTCCCCCAAAATTTGGGAAGGGGCATTGGGAATCGCCGATCTGAGTTTTGCCACTCTCTGCATTTTCGGGGCTTTCTAACCAGTCCTGCTTCCTCACGGAATTATTCCTCCTTTTTCCCCACCAAAAAAATCTGCTTCCAGAGCTAACAGATGAATTTTTTTTGTTGTGATGCCAAGTTAATAGGAAGTGTCAAATACCGGGGTTGTGTTGTCATGGAATTCCCAAAGTGCTGACCCAAGCGCGGTGGGATCCCAAATTTCTCTCCCGCTTCAGGGAGATGATGAATCCGATGGAATGAGGGAGAATTAACTCCATGGAATGAGGGGAAATTAATGCCTTGCCCTGCTCAAGAGCCCAAGCAAAGTGAAAAATCCCCAAATTGTCACCAATTTTAAGGAAAATAAAGGAATGGAGTGGAGCAAGCCTGGCAAATCCCAAGCTAAAAAGAAACAACTGGAAAAAGACAGGAATGGAGGTGGGAGGACAAATATTTCAGGGATATCTTCAGGAATATGACAGAATTTGCATGAACTAAAGAATAGTTGATATAAAAATTAATTTTTATATCAATTTATGGCAATTCACTCTCATCCTTCCCAAAGTATCTCAATTTATGGGATACCAATCCCTGTCCTCCAAGGGAAAACAGCTTTTCCCTGGTTAGATTTTGGTTAAAAGGAATTATTGAAAGTGATTTTTTTTCCCCTTTTGGGTCCAACTCTTTATTTTTAAGTGACATGGCTTTTAGTGAAAAGGAAAAAAACCCAAATTGAGCAAGGAAAAATGCCCAGAAATAAACTGGGAAAGGGAAATTCCCTGGAGTTTTGGAAGCTGCACAAAACTTGGCATCCTAAAAGCATCCCCTTGCAATGCTCCCCATTGCATGTGGTTTTTTCCAAGGAAAAACTGTGGTTTCCAAGAAAAGAACCTGCATTTTTTTCAAGGAAAAACTGCATTTTTTTAAAGGAAAAACTCTGTTTTCAAGAAGAAATGCTATTTTTCAAGGAGAAATGTGTTTCTTCATGGAAAAACTGCATTTTTTTCAAGGTAAAACCATGTTTTCCAAGGAAAAAATGTGGTTTTTTTCAAGGAAAAACGGTCGTTTTTTAAGGAAATCTGGGAACAAACCACTCAACCAGGTTACCAAGGTGGGGGCTAAAACACTGAGAGAGAAAGAATCCAAGGGAAGAATATTCCTGATGTTCATCCAGCCCCATCGATCCAAGTTTTGGGTGGAGCTTAAGAAATCTAGAGCAAGAAAACGAGGTTAAAAACATGAGATTTAGAAACTGACATTTAAAAACTGAGAGTGAGAAACCGAGATTAATGAAATGAGGTTAAAAACTTGAGATTTAGAAATTGAGAGTAAGAAAGTGAAGTTAAGAAACAGAGAGAAAGAAATTGAGAGTAAGAAACTGAAGTTAAGAAACTGAGAGAAAGATATTGAGAGAAAGAAATTGAGAGTAAGAAATTGAGAGCAAAAAATTGAGAGTAAGAAACTGAGGTTAAGAAATTGAGGTTAATAAATTGAGATGTAGAATTTATGATTAAGGAATTGAGGGAAAAGAATAGAGACGAGGAAATCGAGGTTTAAGAAATTCGAGATGAGGAAAGTGATGCTAAGAAATTTGATTTCTGAGCTGAAAAATCACAAAATTGGATGTTCAGAGATCCCAACCACCTCCACCTCCCACACCCCCCAACCCGGACGAGCCCCCATTATTTAGGGCTCTGCCGAGCCGTATTCCCGCTGTGGGTTGCTTTAGGATCTCCATCCCTCGGGGGAAGGTTTTCCGCCCCGTTTCTCAACCCTTGCCGTGTCTGTCTGTCTTCTGCTGCCAGCGATGAAGACAACAAACCTCTTCCCAACAGCCAGACCTCGCTGGACGGGACGATAAAGCAGCAGGAGAGCGACGACAGCTTGGTGGACTACGGAGAAGGGGGCGAGGGCCAGTTCAACGAGGACGGCTCCTTCATCGGCCAGTACACGGTCAAGAAGGACAAAGAGGAGACCGAGGGCAACGAGAGCTCCGAGGCCACGTCCCCCGTCAACGCCATTTATTCCTTGGCATAGCAAAAACGCCGGGAAAAACAACCCAGAGCCCGAGGGAATCGGAGCGGCCGGGGGTTCCGCCAGTAGCCGCCGCCACCGCTGCCTCCGACAGGAAAGGGAATCGAGCGAGGACTGAAAAAAACAAAACAAAACAAAAAAATAATAGAGGAAAAAAAAATTAAAAATAGCAAAAAAAATATTTTAAAAAAAAGGGAAAAAAAAAAAAAGAAAAATATTCCAACCAACGAGGCAGCCCAGGTGGCCGCTGATGCCATTTATCCTTAGCAAACGAGCCAACGACAAAGGACGCGCGGGGCGGGAGCCGGAGTGGGAATCGGGGCTGAGCTGGAGCAGCTGGAAGGGAGGAGATGCTCAAGCTGCTCCCCAGTTTTGGGGCTGCTCCCCAGTTTTTGGGCTGCTCCTCAGTTTGGGGGTTGCTCCCCCAGTTTGGGGCTGCTCCTCATTTTGGGGTTGCTTTCTCAGTTTTGGGGTTGCTCCCCAGTTTGGGGCTGCTCCTCATTTTGGGGTTGCTTTCTCAGTTTTGGGGTTGCTCCCCAGTTTTGGGGTTGCCTCCCACTTGGGGAATTGCTCCCCAGTTTTGGGGTTGCTCCCCAGTTTTGGAATTGCTCCCCAGTTTTGGGCTGCTCCTCATTTTGGGGTTGCTTTCTCAGTTTTGGGGCTGCTCCTCATTTTGGGGTTGCTCCCCAGTTTTGGAATTGCTCCCCAGTTCGGGGCTGCTCCTCATTTTGGGGTTGCTTTCTCAGTTTTGGGGTTGCTCCCCAGTTTTGGGGTGCCTCAGGGCCAGTCTGGAGGGGCCCCGTGTTGGGCTCGGCTCCCCGAGGCTTTTTTTTGTTCTTTTAGGAGGGAGCTCCAACTTTTTGCGTTTATTTTTTCCAAGAAGGTTCTGGATCAGAGGGGAAGGGGGAAAGAAATCAAAGAATTTTGGGGAGGGAAGAGGGGTGAGAGGGGCCTGGGCAGAGCAAAGGCATGGAAGGAGGAAAGGGGTGGATTTTGGGGTGAAAAAACGGATTATTGAGCCGTCCATCCTCACGGCAGCACCTTGCCCATAACCTCTCCCAAAAAAACCTCCTTCCTGAAAAAACCTATGCAGGGAAGAGCAGGTCCCCACCACCTCCCTCAGCACCGGGATTTGTCCTTGCTGAGGCTGGGAAAACCCACAGGGAGCTCATCCCCCATTCCCACTGAGCTCCGGAGCATGCCGGGAGGAGAAGAGGTTGTGGAGGAACTTTTGGGATGTGTGGAAGGACAGGGAGGGACCTCTCCCCTGCCAAGCCCGGGGTGACAGCACTGCAGAAATGCCTTTTTGGGTTTAAATTTGCTTTGTAGGGATTATGGGGGGAGCTGCCCCCCCACCCCACACCTGCTTTCTTTCCAAGGCAACTCCATAAATCCTATGTAGCAAAGAGGGCCTGGAAGCAGGAGCAGGATCAGAGCAGGATGAGGAGACCAGAAGGATGAACGAAAAAATTATCCAAGTGAGCTGCTGAGGATGGAAAAAAAACCCTGGGATGAGGTGGAGGATTCCCTGAAGGATTCAGGGCCACACCATGAGGGATGAACGCCGGACTGGAATCCACACCTCCAGGGCACCGGGATGAGCCGGACAGATGCTGTTTTTCCTACTAAATCCCCTCCTCCTTTCTGACAGTGGCCTTTCCCCCCCTCCAGCACTCAGCCAAGCCACCGTGGGACCCCCATCCCACCTGGAGACTCCCAGGATTTCAGCGACCCCGCCCTGAGCGCTCCCTCACATGCCTTACACAGCTTGGGACTTGCCGGGGAGTCGCTCCAAGGATGCTCTTCCCACTCCGCTTCCGTGCCCCCGACGGCCTTGGATCTGCCCGAGCAGTAGGAATGGGATATCTGGGAGCATTCCCAGCTCTCCCAGCATGGATCAGGGTAGAAGGCAGGGATTCCGAACGGACTGCGTCCCGTGAATCCTCCCACTTCCTGCACTTTTGAAACCAAAGGTACCTTTGTGAAGAGAGAGGGAGTGAGATCGAGCTTCTTTTGGAAAAGATGGATTTTTGGATGGATTTTCCTTTTTCTTTTCTTTGTTTATTTTTTTCTGAGGAGGATGGAGGTTTTTTTTTGATAGGATGCAATGGGATTCTCATAGTTATTCTTTCTGCTCTGGAGACACCTCGGTGACAGGGATATTCCCACTGCTACAGATTGTGGAGAGGGACTTTGCCACATCCCGATGGATCCTGGGAAGAGCCCGGACTGGGCTGACAGGAGAGATGGATGCAAATTAATCCAATGCAAATGCCTTCCTTAAAATAATAATTATCATTTATCTTGGTCGTCTTCTCTGATAGGTCAAACGTGGGGTGAAGATGGAGCTCATGGGGCTGGATTTGGTGACCTTAAAAGGTCCCTTCCCACCCAAATTGTTCCATGAAACCAACGGCAAAGGAATTCCAGGGTTTAGGTCAGGGTCAAGAGGCAGAGACCCCTCACAGAGGTGGACGAACTGTCCCAGGGGTGTCCCTCATCCACCAGCCCCTGCCAGGACCCTCCAGCCGTGTCCCTGGCAGGGACAGCCCAGTTGTGACCCTCGGTGTGGACACAGCCACACCCCAGTCCCAGTCCTGCCGCCCATCCTGTTCAGGACAGCGACTCCCAGAATTCCACCCAGATTTTAGGCAAACATCTCCCAGGCTAAAGGTGACACCACCCCTGGGATGACGACGATCCCATTCCCAAAGGTGACACCACCCCTGGGATGGCGACGATCCCATTCCCAAAGGTGACACTGTTTCTGGGATGGGGACAATCCCATTCCCAAAGGTGACACCATTTCTGGGATGGGGACAATCCCATTCCCAAAGGTGACACCACCCCTGGGATGGCGACGATCCCATTCCCAAAGTTGACACTGTTTCTGGGATGGGGACAATCCCATTCCCAAAGGTGACACCATTTTTGGGATGGGGACAATCCCATTCCCAAAGGTGACACCACCCCTGGGATGGGGACAATCCCATTCCCAAAGGTGATACTGCCCCTAGGATGGGGACAATCCCATTCCCAAATCATTCCCAACTCCCAGCTGAGTTTGGGCAACTCCCTGCCCAAGCACTACTGGGAATGAGAAACAAATCCAGCCCCTGGATCTGGGATCTTCCCAGCACTCCCAGTCCTCGCTGCTGACAGGGGCCACAAAAATGCTCCAAACCTTTGGAAATCAGGCCGGGATTGCTGGAAGAGGGTCCGTGCTGGGTATCCATGATGTGCCATTCCCGTGAAAACCCCTATTCCTGAACCACCTCATCCCTGAGGAAGTCTCTCAGCATCCCTTTGGAAAAAGAGGGTTGGGAAGGAGCTGGACTCTGCCCAACCTTATCCCAAATTTCCTCATGAAGTTCCCCAGGTAACTTTGAGTTACTCACAGCCCTGTCTCAGCTTAGTGTAAAAATTACTCAACATTTCTAAGGTTTAGCAAAAATTCTGACATTTCTTCAAAAGTTCTCCCCTTTTTGGGAGTTTTGGGGCCCAGAGAAAATTCAGGTTAAAAACTCATCCTGAGCTTCTCATCCTTTACTCCTTTGAGTTAAGTTCAAGGTTTGCATGGGAGAAACATCCTGACGCCAAAACTTCCAGCGCTCACAGGGTGACCCCACAGCTCCCAAAAAACCAGACAGGGCTGGGATGAACCCACACCATGTTCTGGGAGCATCCTTGGAGCAGGAGATGGATGGATGGATGGATGATGGATGGATGGATGGATGGATGATGGGTGGATGGATGGATGGATGGATGGATGGATGGATGGATGGATAGATAGATGGATGGATGGATGATGGATGGATGGATGGATGGATGATGGATGGATGGATGGATGGATGGATGGGTGGATGGATGGATGGATGGATGGATGGATGGATGGATGGATGGAGAATCCACATGAGGATTTGTGGTGCTGAGGGATCTTCCCCACCCTGATCCTGATCCCATTCCCTGGGAACTGCTCTGCTGCTTCCTCCCCTCTCCCGAGAGGACATCCTGGTCACCTCCTGTCCTGATTCCAGTGGTGGCCCCCAGGGCTAGCAGGGATGCTCCCATTCCCATCACAGGGACAACGATCCCTCCCTGGGATCTGCACAACCTCTCTGGGGCAGGGAACATTTCCAGCTCTCCAGAAGAAGGAGTCCTTTCTTCATCAAGGGTTTAAATTAGAAGCCAACTTCTCATTCAGAAATAAAAAACTAGGAGACCCCAAATTTCATCACCAAACCCCAAATTCCAGAGCCAGACCCCAAATTCCATCAGCCTCAGGTGCCGAGCTCAACCCCAAATCTGTAGATTTGTCTTGTTCCTACAACATTCCAAGCCAACTCCACATCCATGTCCTGGAGATGAATCCAGGCTCCATCTCAGCTCCAGGGACCTCCCTGGCACCCAGCCCTGGGACAGCCGACAGGAACACCAGGAATTCGGGATACGAGGACACCGCTGTGCTTCCCTGATCTGGAGGCTGCTCCCATTCTCCCTGAGGTGACACCACAACTGTGGAGGCACAAAACCAGCAGGAAAAGCTGGAATTTTGGTCCAAACCCCAAAGTCCTGCTTGGGAAAACCCAACCCAACAGGACATGCTGTCCCTGCTGCCAGCATTGCCTTCCTGGAGGTGACAGATCCCAAATCCAGATGTCACCAACGAGCCGGGACATCCAGGAGGGAGAAGGGCAGAGCTGGGCAGTGTCACCCAGGGCCACCACCGCGCTCGCTCTGGCCATGCCACCACCTTTTCCTGGCACATCCCAACGCCACCACCCATCCTGGCACATCCCAAACCCTCTCCTCGCCGCACAGGTCCCAGCAGAGCTGCAAGTGCCACCTGCGACGTCACCTGCTCGGCCCAGGCTTTCCGTGTACCTGCAGCAACCAAGATTTCAGTTAAGCAATAAAAAAACCAAAACCTTATTAAAAAAAAAAAAAAAAAAAAAAAAAAAAAAAAAAAAAAAAAAAAAAAAAAGAAAAAAAAGAAAAAAAAAAGAGACAACTATTTCTTGCACTAAAAGCTGTTTTATTAACGAGAATAATGATGCTTTTCTGGTCCTCACAATGCCACCCACGGCATCAGTAGTGCCCCTCGCCCGTGTCTCCGTGTCCTCACATTGTACATCGGGGTTTGGTTGTTCA